TCTCCTCCCAACGTTGTTTAGCTTTCACATGGTGGTTCATTCTGTCCAAAGTCTGTCTTGTAAGGCTATTCTGAAAACAAGATCTGACAACTTAGAAGTGTACATTAACAGCTAGACTGATACCACCACCCTGATACCCCTTCCCTGTACTATGGAAAAGCTGATCTACAGAACAAAAAACCTCTTCAGAAACTGGTGACAGATGAAAGCTGGACTCTGCAGGACTCTGCAACTGAGACATAAAATCACATTTGGGAATACTTTGGCACATTAGGTTGTATCCCACTGTATGTGAATCTAAATAAGACGGATGACATCCTAAAAAAGGCTACAGAAAACAAAAAAGGCATGGAGAATAGAAGGAGAAAAATAAGAGATGCAGACCTGGAGTTTAATAAAAGGTACTCAGGAGACTTGAGGAAAAAAAACCCATGTCTTGTACTTGATGTCAGGACAAATTCTTCAGCACTCCTACTGAAGAGGTCAGAGGAGACTGCTTAGCTAGAGAAACTGCTGAAGAAGCTTAAGGTGATATTCAGTATTCTCTGTACCTACTGCATTGCTGATATCCAGAGAAGAGGGTAAAAGCACAACTAGATAATGAAGAAAAAGAGGTTTCAAAGCCCAAGCCAGGAGATGTTCAAGCAGTGAAATATAACAAATATTCTCTGCTTTAAAATGTGAGCTATTTAGCTGCTGAGACTGAGGTTAGCATGATGGATAAAAAGAACTTTAAACTAAGGGCAAAGGTTTAATTTTTAGATCCTGCTTAATATCCAAAGGGGGAAAAAAAAATCAGCTAAAGTGGGACAGAGCAACCAAAAACATATATGAGTTTTGAGATATATGAATAATGAGAAAGAAAAATGCTAACATAATGAGAGGACTCAGGCAGATGACAACATTCAAGAAAAAGGACTACTGTAGGTACGAAATCAAATTAGACTGATGTGAAACAGTTCAATTAATTGTAAACTAAGGAAGAAGAGAGTTCAGACTCCTTTTATTCGCTGTCAGAATTTTGCTGTCTTCAGATATACGAAAACATTTTCAGCAGTACTTATACAACTGAAATGAATCCGTCTTAAGTGCTGAAGTTGTTTTTTAAAAAGAAGGCAGGAGCCTAAAATCAATCAGCCACTGTTTTACTAAATATATTTCTTAAATACAATCAAATGGCTTTATAGCTTCTTGGCTGTTGGGAGTATAAAGGAACATTTATCCCCAACGGTCTTTACACTTGCCTAAACCAAGCTATTTTAATTGATCACATGTAAATTAGAATTTACTGTGCTTGTACATATCTGTGTACATTATGAACACATGTGCAACATGTATGACTTACTCCTTCAAAGTAACTTAACATAGACTGTAAATAACAGGAGAGCTTATACTTTCATGAGCATGGAACACGACTATAAAACCACCATTTCATTACTTTTATGTTATAAATAAAAAACTGAATGAATTTTTTTCCCAAGTGTTTGAAACACAAGTTTCAAATCCCCAGTAGAAATATCCACTTAAGATTTACATGAATACAGCTTCTGTTTCATATTCATACTAAAATCACAATTCATCATCTCCTCTGGCCATCCACAAATCTCTACCCAATCACTGTGAAATAATATGGTGAAAGTCCTCAGTAGAAAATTAAGCTTTTGTGAAGAAACTTGTCTTCATTTTCCCAAGTATGAAAAACATTTCAAAAACCAATTAAAACATTACGCAATGGTTACATCTTCAAATATCTTTTAATTCTTCTAATGAATTCAGTTCCATGCATATATTTATAACTTGTTTTCAATTTGTAATAAACTGAATCTCTAACATACCACAACTAAAGAATCTTTGAAGTATGTACTGTGAGAAATGATATAAAGATAACAGATAGAGTATTCCAAATATATATTTGCATATAAAATAGATCAGGATAATATTATACTAAATTATATAGTATTACTACAGTAAAAAAATCTATTCAGCTACCAGTCCAGCAAGCTTGACATGGGAAATGAGTATCAATCTGTATTTCTTCCTTCCTCATTTTCATTCCTAGAACCTAGAACAAAGTGTCCTTGTCAAATCTTAGTAGCAGCTATAAAACTTGTTATTTTCAGTGGCATCAGGTATTCATAACTGACTGCACTTTTGTAAGTAGTTAGACCTTAATGCACAATTCTATTTATAGACAAAGAAGAAAATTCGTGAAGAATTTTCAGTATTGATCTAAAAATCCAGCCTCTTTGCTAAAATTTCTAAATAATAAAACTGTAAAATAAGTTTTCACTGATTTAATGTAATCCATCTTTGAAGAAATGAAGAGCAGACCCACTGCATAAAAACTGAGCCATCTTAATTTGTCCGTGTTAGTGTAGAATCACTCAGGAGTTTCAGAATGTTCATTTACTTTTCTCCTACAGTTATTTAGTGTAACACTAAAAATCCATAACATATCTTAACTGTAAGAAAATATGATTTTTAACCTGAGTCTCATGGCATTTTATGCAAGTACAGCATTACTTTCATGACTGTTTTAGAAATAGGTATTGTTAAGATAATACAAGTGTTTCACCATTCTAACATGTCTTGGCAGTGGAAAAGCAAACAGAAAGATCTGGAACACCCTGAAAGTCAATGCATTTAAATGATGTAAATATATATAAGCATGGGATTCCCAATGTGAGGTGATAAAACTACCTAAAAAACATGAGACAGCAATAGTAATAGCTTCATTAGGTTTTCAAGCTGTTTGCCTTGCTTAGGTCAGGTTTTTTATGGTACTCAACAGAAGTACGGGTGTACTGTTCATGCACTTTGAATGTTTATTACATGTAAGTGATATTTGTCAACGCAATGCTGGGCCCAAAACAATTTTGTGTTTCAGAATATGCTGCCATTTGAATTTTTTCTTAAAAGAAAAAGCCTTTTAAATCTGCTCTAACAAAAAGAAAGACATAGCTTCTATGTAGAAATTGGTATAAAAAAAATAATTAGTTTAAAGCAACAATTTCAAATATTCTAGTCTAGTTTCTACATCTTGAGATGCTATTAATGACCACCTTGAAGGTCTCAGTGTTTTTCAATGCCCCTCAGAGAGGCTTAAAGTCTAGTCTGTACTAGCTATGAGTGTTATGTAAAGATCCAAACAGTTATCAGACAGTCTAATTGTTCTCTGTTGAAGAACCCTGTACAACAAATCAACATCATAAAGAGTAATTTGGTATCTTTATTGCTCAAGGGTTGCAAACGACTTCTACTTGTTGAAATAAAAAGCATTCATAGCATTTTAGTCTGTTTTTAGAACTGTTTTTTTCAGTTGTTTTTTGCAATACAACTTTATGAGCCTAGAAAATTAAGTGTACATCCAGCTCTGGCACAATTCAGGCCCACGATGACTTAAATAATCTACCCGTAACCTGGTCTGATGAGAATTAACATTTTATAACACTATGAAAACTGTTTTTATGATACTGGTCCTGAACAACAAAACCCTGGATATGCCAAAGTTGCCATTAGTCAGAGTTAGATTTTCAGACGAGATGTTCTAGAACTTCTGAGAGGATTACCAAGTGGACTAATACATTTTTCACTGTGCACCTACTTCCCAGGAAAACACAATTTTTTTCTCCTTATCCCTTTTCAGGTAAGGACAAGGAGAATGTGTCTTTTGTTGACAGCAAAACAAAAATCTGTAACTGAAAGTGAGGAAATGAAGAAAAAAATAAAACAAGGAAAAAAAATTGAAATCTCAAAAGCCAGCAAGGTGCACAATGATGATGGACACTGTGCCAGGTTAAGAGGTATACTTCTAATATGGGGCATGGCAACTTTGTTAGAATATCCATGTTAGAAATTATGGCAACCTAGTAGCAATAAGAAGAGAATAAGCTGAGAAACAGGAAAATTCACAAAGATTAATAAATCAGAACCACTTCAGAGGCAGCTGACACATAATTTGACACTTCCCACTTTCCATTTAGCTTGGAACAGGCTGATGTCTGAAACTACAGCTCTACTTACCTACTTGTTTTAAAAAGAAATTTGTATCCAAATTATGCAACACGTAATCTCCACTTTTATAACTTCACACATACAGTATGGAAAAGGAAGCATTATTTTCCCATAGAAATCACAGAATACTGAAGAAGTGAAAGGTGTTAATTAAAGTGTTAGAAAATCAAAGGAATTGCTCTAAATACAGTTTTATAAAGACACTGCAACTTTCTAAATTAGAAGAAAAACAATATACACCTACTTTGAGAATGTGAATCTGCCTCTAACACCTGCAGTGCTATTCAGGCCTGTCCAGATTGACCTGTCCCACAAAACCCACTTCCAAAAATTTAAAGTTTCTAAAAGATTTTTTTTTTTTATTTCAAAAGAAAATATAACAAAAGAAAAGAAATACAAAACTAATCTTCTAGACGAAGAACAGGAAGAAAACTGTCACGTTCTCTGGTTTACATTTATAACAGGACCCTATCTAGAGATTAGAATAGTTTCAAATCTATTGTAGTTGAGGATATGATGTCATCATTTAAGGGACACAGATAATTTTGTCCACAATATCTATTCATACCAACAAAAGAAAGCAAAAGGGGGCATGCAGAATACTTTCATACCCCTCTCTCCTGGATTATTCCTATGTTACATGAATTCATCATCCATGTAAGAGTATGCAAGTAGTCTTTTTATTTTCCTCCCAAAGCCATCTGCTAGTTTAACTTTTGTAAAAGCACAACTGATTTCAATTGCATTAGATGCACACATCAGACTGCACAATTTTCTCTCTCTTGGCAATTTTCTGTGAAGCTTATTTTTAAAATACTGAATATGATACTTAACACGCTCTGTCCACATGACATTACAAAATTTTCCATTACTGATTAATGAAAACCTGGGAATTTGCTAAAGAAAAGCTGAAGAGACTATGGGGTTGGCCAAAAATAAAGTAATAATCAACACAGAAAATATTTGAAGTAAATTAGTCTTCTTACCTTGTTCTTTTATCTGACGAATTTGCTTCACAGTTTCTTTCAAGATTGCACATTTGTCAGGTTTAAAGTTAAAGTTGTCAATATCATTAAAATTTGCAAAAATCAGTTCTGCAAGTTCTTCTATGTATTTATTCTCTTGCTCACGATTGCGTTTCTCAGTGCTTCTTTTAGGGCTGAAAGAGGAGTTTACAATAATCATAGAATCATAGAATAGATTGGGT